ATCCAACCAACTCCTCTACCTTGACAATGTCTATGTCATTACTCTCCTCAATTGTCGTGACTTGAGGCCTAAAACGCTCAGGTAAGGATCTAAGAATCTTTCTCACTATCTTAGTTTCAGGGATTTTCTCACCTAGGTTGAAGGACGAATTTACTATGTCATTTAAGCTTGCATAAAAGACATCAAACATCTCATTGTCTCTCATTCTTATCTCTTCAAACTTAGTGGCCGTGGCCAACATCTGCAGCTTAAAACTCTTAACTGCCTGAGTTCCCTCATGTGTGGTTTCTAAAATATCTCAAACTTTTTTTGCTACCTCACACATGGACACTTTCCTAAACTCCTCGGGGGAAACTGCCATAAATTGGGCATGGAGGGCTTTGCAATTTAAATTACAGCTATCCAATTGAGCTCTAGACCAGTTCTTGACATGGGTGGGAGTGACTACACCGTCTATTGTGGTACTAGGGGCTGACCAACTATTTACCACAGTCTGCCAAACACGCTCATCTAAGGATTTCAAAAATGCCCTCATTCTTACCTTCCAATACACATAATTGTTCCCATCAAAGTGGGGTGGCACATTCAACGACACATTAATCTAGACTAATGTAAGGTTAGGATTCGCACTTAGGCTCTGATACCACTTGAAAGTTCAGAAAACGTTCTACAACCACTTGGAAATTCACGGGAATGCTTTACTATGTCAAATTCAAATTTTAGCGTTATCAAATTTACGCTCCAATTTACCGTTTGACCTTACGTGCGGAATTAATACAATTAATTGTAACAAATCACAAATTAATTGTTGTCTAGGTGATTAAACATACACGTCCAATTAACCCTATGTTGAATTGTCGGTTTGCGTAAAGTAAATAAAACAGTAACAATACCAACTCACAATATGATGATGGAGAAACCCCAACGTGGGTAAAATTTCGGGACCAAGCCAGTAGCTTCCACTATACCAATCCAGCCAATACAAGTTATGCCAAACTCCGTACCAAGTCAGACCTGCTGTTCCAGTCTCACAATCTACTGCCGTAGATACTGCTAGTCTCCTGCTAACTTCCCGATCTACCTCCTGTAGCCCAATCTGCTGTCCAATACAACCTCCTGGTCTCTAGCTGATTGTATCACCAAGTGGAATTCCAAGAACCTCCTGTTCTTGTTTAGTTCCTGCGCTTGTCGTTCACCTCTCTCAATCTCCCAATGAGAGAGTCCATTCCTTAACAAATGAAGAAGTCTGGGTGTTTTGTCTTCACAAATAGTGATGTTTTCCCCAACAGTGAATTGCCTGGATCACAAGGTGTTTATGGATGAATTCCTTGTTCAGTTCTGCCTTAGATCACTTGAGAGAATATTGAAGATGATATCTATGTAAAGCACAATATGACATTCTCTCTTTCACGTTCACGGCCTTTGTATTTATAGTTGGTGGCAATTAGGAGTCCTAGGCAGTGTCAAACTTTCCAGAAATCGAAAATATGATTTTCCATATAACACCGTCACTTGAGCGAAAAACGAGCAACGCCACTTTGCTCGAGCGGCGAGCGAGCGACGACCATTCTGCTTCCTCTCGCTCGAACGATGGCAGGGCGAACAACTAGCAAACTTCTGGCGCCATGACCTTGATTTAAACCAAACACTCAAACCCTAGTCCCTACCATCTAGCTTTGCTAAATTGCACCCTAAGTCCTTGATTTTTATAACATTGTACAATTGAGTTCCTGACTTTTATAAATTTACAATTTAGTCATTTTGTCCACAGAATCGCCAATTACACATTTAGACCTAACATTATTGTAGGATTAACATAATATATGAGTTACAACAATTGCAAACTGTCCATGTTTAGAAGTAGAGCTTATGTTGACTCAAAAAATGTAGAAATATTGTAATAGAGCGAAACTTGTAATGAATAAATAAATAAACTATTAAAATCTTTATTTATTTATTTATTTTGTTTTAAAAAAAAGCTAAACTAAAAAAAACCATTTTCAAGTTTAGAGTACTTTCAATAGACTCTTTAAACATTAGATACTCTATATTTTAAAAGAGTCAATCTTTAAAATCTTATTTCACTAGACTCTTTAAATTAATATTTTAATTTAGAGAGTAGATTTGATTTGGAGAGCCAAATTCACTTTCTATAATTAAATGAATTCAAATTATTTCAATTTTCAATATAGGAAAATAATAAAATAATCTAGAGAAAAACTAGTTAAAATAAAAGATGGAAAAAATAAAAAATATTTTTTGAATATAGTAAAATCAAGTGTTATATGTAAAAAGTTTGCTGAATTATTTTAAAATTTTAACTCTCTAAATTTATAGATGTTCTCCAAATAATAGAATATGCTTTTAAAAATAGAGTCCGTTGAAGATGCTCTTACCCAGTTTTTGGGGTGAATGAATCAATCGATCGTGAACTTTTTTAATCGTCTATACATTTGTGAATTCTAACAATCAAACTGAATATTATGTTCAATGAGATGTTGCAGTTATGCTAGGTGACTCGATCTGGTTCTTTTAACATTGTTCAAAACACGATATAATATATTTTTAAAAAATGTAAAAATTATGATAAGTACAAGATAAAATAAAAGAATCTAATGTGCATTAGGATTGTAAATTATGTATCAGGATTGATATATTAATTAAAAGGGAGCATTCCTCCCACCAAGGTTTGTGATAAATAAATTTGAAAAAGAATATCAATCCTTAATTTAAATCAATCTAACAGTCTAAAGCTTCTTATTAAAACTCTTTAAAATCTCAAAATGACCCCACCCAACCTAAATCCTGCCTACCCCTCCCACCTATCTATACGCATTATACATCGACACAATTTTAGATGTATGAAGAATTGATGGATCTTTTCAATCCATGCGTTACGCCTTGAATCTGCGTGGAAGTTAAGTAGGGTAAAGTAAGGAAAGTGTAAGTGCAGATTATTTGAACCTTAGCCGAAATAGATTTAATGGTTGTTGTAATCTCATATATCTGACCATTCTTTGAGGACTCACAGAAGTACTCCGGATGATGCCACAAGCTGTTTGATGTACAACAATGCATTGAACTACTTCAACAAGTCACTTAGGCTTACAACATCATGCCCACAACATCATGCCCTGTGGGAACATTGTGTGATCCTCTCACCATTCAGTTGCCTATGGCAAGGCTAGTTGGCCTACAAACGTTCCCTTTAACATTACCACGCATAGTTATAAAACTTGGCTTGAACCGGTTGGTCGGGTTGGAAAAATCGGTGACTTGGGCCCTTAATCGGGTCGGGTAGAACATTTTCATAGAAATGCAACCGTCTCGGTCAAAAATCAAGTTGACTCGACGAGTTAACTGACGATTTTTATATTAACTCGGTCGATTGACTGGTTTGACCAAGATTTAAAAGTTTGTCCATAAATTCTTTATTCTCAAAAGATTTGAACCTTACACCTCTAGGTAAAGTGAGTACCACCCAACCACTAGAGATCAATTGTTTATTATTATGTGTTCGCAATAATTAGGTATATGTAAATCATTTATAGTTTGTTAAAAATATTTTTAAAAAATTATAGTAACTATTATGATTAAAATGAATTGAATACTTAACAAAATAATATATAAATAATTAATTAATTAATGACGGATATTTTTTATTTTTTTATTTTATCTAAATGAAAAACTTTATACTTTAAGAATTATTTTATAATTATTAAGCATTGACCCACCGGTTCGACTAGTAACCCGAGACTCGATGTCTTGACTGGGTCGATGGTCGGATCGGGTTTAATAACTATGGTATCATGTCGTCCCATTTGATCTTAGCATGGATAGTCGTTATGACCAAGCCTCGTCCCTCCATCAAACCCAACTTCGCTAGAAACCCTGTGACATAGTCCCCAACAGGTTTGACCAACGAATACTTTTGGGTAAAGTACTATGATCTTTGATGGTTAGCTCGTGAGTCGTGATGGCTTATCTTAGAGGAAGATGTTTCTACAGGAAACTACACCAGTTGTTATTGTGCTGTAAAAAGAATCGACTGCATGAAGAATAGATTTAGTATTTGTTATTAAACTTTTGTTTTAATCTTCCTATATTTTTCAAAATCAACATTTTACAGTTTGGTAAAAAATAGAGATTTATTGTTGTGCTTATACACAATTAGAAAACTAGAAAGTGATTATAATGATGTCATTTTATATTTTTATTATTATTTTAGTATTGTAAAATTTATTTTTACTTTTATAACAGTACGTAATATTAGTAAATATTTTTCTACGAGTTACGACCACATAAACACTAAAGTTATTTTTTAAAAAAAAAATGACATCAATTAAATCTCAACATTTATAAAATTACAAATAAAAGCAAAGTTCATATCGTAGAAAAATGAATTAATTTAATTAACTATGATTAAAATTGTTATTTCAATTATCGATAATTGAAGAAGTTAAAAAAAGAATCTCAGAAGCTTGCTGCTTCCCCAAATCTGTTGCCACGGGGTTCTGTTCTTCTATATTCAATTTTTTTAATATTTACCTAACACCTAAAACAACTTCTGATTGTTCGAGCATCAAAAATTGAGTTCCATAATCAATTCCAAAGGGAGCCTAAATTTCTAATATATGTAACAATGGATGTTGGTTATGATATCATCCATTGTCCCTCTTTTGACCTATAGCAATGAGATTGTACTGCCTCTACTTGCTGATTTCTTGTATAAAGATGCAAAACACGCTTAATATTATTTGATTGAATAGTCGACTCAACTCTTATTGTATGAAGAAAATCTCCACTTCAAGTTATAATTTTTTACAAAAAGCAAACATGAGATTAAAAAAAAAAAAAAAAAACAGTGCTTCACAAAGATTTCGAATAAATTCAAGTTAATTCTATTTAGCCTTTTCTTAAAGAAATACGATCAAACAATTCCCAATCACGATCTTTGCAAATTAAGTCATCCAGATAACATAAAAAAGAAACCATAGATATATTTTTGTTTTTGAATAAGAATATACAAATTTCTTATAAACAAATAAGCAATACACATGAATTTGCCAAAAAGATCCATACAATGTGAAAAATCTTTTAATCAGTGTCAATCCAGTCAATGATAGGCTAATTTTTGTTTAATTCCTCACATGATTATGCCTAAAACTGTAGCAAAAAGAAAGGAAAATCACAAATCAACATTTGGCTAACTAACTTGTTTGTGAATTCAGACTAATGGCCTCTTCTCTTCATCTTCTTCATCGGCTCCATTTTCAGGTGTCTTCACCTTTTTCGGATGATTTCTTCCCTGAGTACTGGACCCGACAGCCTGGTTAGGAGGTTTAGTATCAGGGACGATCTTCAGTATAATTCCCATTGCTATGAGTAACAACCCCGAACCATGTTGTTCAGTAAGAGGCTTCGTAAAAATTAAGTACGACAACAACAAAGTCACAGCCTTTCGTGCTGTTGTTATCTGCAAGAGCAAAGAAGTACACAACATGAAACAAGTGCCTTTCGAGCACGATTGCACGCTGAAAACACAAGGCTAGTCGAGGCATAATTACCATAGCAGTGGTGGCAGCCCCAAAAATGGCAATGAGTGATAAAACAGAGACTTGACCAATAAATGTAGCCATTGCTTCAAAGACAAGCACCCCGTAGACATAAGGATGCTGCAAATGCAAATGCAAAAGCAATGAAATGATAAATTTAGAAGAACAAATCTACATTGAGAAGCAAAGGAACTTGATGTCACCAGTGGTCATGGCAAATATAGCCGCTTAATTCTTAATTAATAGCTCTAATTAAAAAATAGTCCTACTGATTAAGTATTTTGAGCTGAGAATAATTTAATCGAGTCAATCTCCTTACCTCAGCACAAGAATTCCAAGCTTTAAACAACTCTCCGGTCAAAATCATTGGTGGTAACAGGAAAGGCAACCCGATTAATGTCGAGCAAAATAGCATCTCCATCTGAGAGAATAAGATCTATACAGATTAGCGGAAAAACGATATGTGTTGTCATCTAAATATAAGCCGTAGAACATAATTATTAAAACCTGAGTGGTATCGGGATTCATGGTGAAAATCGCTTCCTGCAAGTTACCGAGAAACGAATCCATGACTAGAGCGCCCAAAATCATCAAGACACCAATGACACTAAAGTTCGGAGAAGTGTTAGCATCTGCTAAGGTGAAAAGAATCAGCCCAACAACTAGAAGCACAGCAGATATGTATTCGTGAACCGGGTATTTTCTTCTTAAGCCAGGGATAAACGCGCCCATTATCATTACAGGTAGAACCTGTACTCCAACAACCAAACGAGCTCATCAATTTAACAAGTAGTAAGTCTCACACAGTATAATATCGAAATCAAAATGCATTGTTCCAACTTGCAAGAAAAGATCAACTAGAAGAGGTCAAACCTCTCAAAGTGGCACATAAACTAATAAGGCACTTAGAATATTGAAATCGTCTAATAATATTTTGTGAATATAAATTACATAATGTCATTGTCCGATTCCAAAGAAATAGTTTTGAGTATGGTATACCTTTGTTGACTTGAACATGATCTGTGCCGGATAGTTAAGATAAGCCAAGGAACCCTTTGTTAATCCATGAGAACCCATAAGGACAGCAGAGAGCTTGACATATGTTTTCCATGGATTCACCTTTTGCTTGATGGTGAACCCCTGTAAGTATATCAGTACCAAATACACAAAGCCTTGGACAAAGGTAAAATACCAGCCATAACTGCAAAACATCAAGTAACATCGTATAAAAGTTTTAATTCAATGAGCCCTTCAAATAATTAGCGCAAACAAATCATAATTAAGCTATTGAAAAAATGCGGACAGACCTGAATTGGAGCCTATTATATACATATTCCTGCAAGCAGATATAAAAAAATTCATGGTTAGTCAACTTGGCAACTTCATTATTCTCAATTAACTAATTCTACAGATCTGAGCTTCATAGGAACTTTTGAATCAATTGAACAGTGAAATGATCAATAAAGTACTACTTTGCAAAACCAAAAATTTCGAATTTTGCCCCCCCAAAGAAGTACAGAAAATTCCAACATTTAGGAACAACTTTTTGAAGCAATTCTACACTACCCCAAAATGGAATGAACCCGGGATTAAGAGACGTCTCTTCATCAAAAGAACGAATGAAGCAAATTAACAAACAACAAACAGGCAACGACGTAGGAAAATCCAAGAATTCAATTCAAAAAATAAAATCCAAAACACAAATGATCCAATAACACAAGAAATCAAACAAAGACAACTGCAATTATATAAATAGATGTACAATAAAACTCAAACGAACCTCACAAATGCCATTGATGAGATAACCAAAGAAGAACCCGGAAGAACATATGAGAAACTGTTGCCAAATTGGTCTCTCAGTCAAAGAAATCCCAAACAGAGACCTTGCTTGATCTTCCTTCTTCATTTCTGAAGAACCCAGTTGAATCAAAACCGAAAACTTTATACAAAACGAAATTGCATGTCCTTGCTTTATGGATTTTTTTTATAGAAGCAAATATAATGGAAGGGAGGGAAAGAATAATTTCGAATGCACAAGAAAGGTATCAGAACTACTAACTTAATAAACTTCCCAATTACAATCTCTCTACTTCTTTCTCTGTATCTGATGGATGGATGAAAACGTGTGTGTGCGTGTTTCTGTGGAAAATCTGAATTCTTAAAAGTCAGTGACGAATTGAGAGAGAGAGAGATGGTGACAGTCTAAAAATTGAATTTTATAAATATATGTATAAAGTATAAAGCAAGTAAATGTTAGCTGTTAATTAGGTCATTAAGAGATTATTACAATATAATTAGCAAGATCAGGCAATTGGATTGGAGATAAGAATCCTCTCCAATTCGAAAAGTGAAAAACAAAATAAATTTAAAAAGATCTAACTAGGGTCGGTTATGTGAACAAAGATACGAAGAGTCAAGTTCGATATCATATCTTTGAAAAGGTTAATCAGTTTTTACAAATTTGAGTTACGTTATTTATATGTCAATTTGTTTCAAACCTATATAACTTGACCTATTATTACACGTATACTGATAAATAATGTACACGCACACTGTCCAATTGAATTACAGTGCAACTCTCTCTCTCTCTCTCTCTCTCTCAAAAATTGCATTATATAATGTGTTGATTAGGCATTTTTAAGTAAAGTTAGTCAGTGAACCTAAAAAGTAAAAAATAAAATTAACAAAGATCCTAAGAGGTCGGTTGCATGTACTACGAAGCAAAAGAGTCTAGTCCGACTCTCTATGTTTGAAAAGGCAAATTAGTTTAGAAAATGAATTATACAAGTTTTTGTTAGGTTCGAAGAACCTAACAATTCAACCTATTTTTTCATGCATACGGTCACCAAGTTAACACACGTTTAGGTGTACATATGTGTACATAACATGCTACGTAATGAATTATACTTATGATTGATTGATTTGATCATTTTACCTATTATGAGCTAAAACTCTTAAAAATGTGATAAGGTGGTAACTTGATGAAATAGTTGATTGCAATAAATTATTAAATTACAAAATTATACTCACATAGTTTGCATTTTCTTTCATGTCATAGTCAAATAATAATGTATACCAACTACCTTTGTACCTTGTGTTAACTCTATGAAGATTAAAGTTAATCACGCTAAAATATTTAATTACGATTCTTAAATTTTGGATTACCATGTTTGTTTTATTGTCCCAATCCATTTATTTATTTAAACAATCTATAAATATATACTAATATGGTAAGAGCATCACCACCTTGAATACTTTCAGCTAATCAGACCATAATCAAGTCTATGTTCGGCAAAAAAATAAAATAAAATAAAAATCAATTAATTAAAATAAATTTTGTAAGATATAATTTATTTTTATTTTATTTTTTTGATGACTATGTTGTCAGAAGTATGAAAAAAAAAAGGATTCAGTAATAAAATTATTTTATTAAAAAATATATATGAAAAATAAAGTCAAACCAGAATTAAGTAGGTAAGGAAATAAGTTATTAATGTATAAAAATAATAAATTGAGAGTGGGGAATACTTTTCAATCATTTGTATGCTTGATGGGTATATTTAAATTGAATAATTCTCCCTGTCCCGGGTCAGGGACAGGAAGAAAGACAGGAGCACCACATGGCATCCCCTATTCGCCCCTCCAATGGGGGGGTCATGTGGCGCTCCTGTCCCTAACTCGAGACAGGGAACAGGGTTCATTTAAATTTTTAGCTTTTATTTTAAAAATAAGTTAAAATACAAAATAATCAAGAAATAGGTGTTTCGGCCGCCAGCAATAAATGAGTAACAATCTTCCGAAAAAGTGAAGTGGGCCCAGAGGGCTTGTTTGAAATCCACGTTTTAGTAGGGAGCAGTCTGATATTTCATTAAGTGGGCCCCATTAACTCTGGATTTTGACATTTACGTTGAATCCAAAACCGTTTATCAAATTGTTTCGCCAAAATTTGGTGCGACACTACCGCGCTTGACCGAGTCATTGGCGCGTGGATTCGGTTGGGAAGTGGAGGTGGGGCCCATTTTCTTTTGGTTCAACACTCTTTTGAATATGGATACGACGACTTTGATCTCATGTCGATCGTAGGCATTAAATCATTTTTAATAATAAATTTGTTAGAAAGAAGAGGAAGAAAATAAAAAATTCCTCTTTATCGCATCGTTTGATTATTTATCTATTTTATAATATTATTTCAAATCTTTTAATACAAATTAAATTAAAAATTATAAAATAATTCCCTATCTGATGTTTTATAAGTTTATAATATTAAAAAATCAGTTTCAAACAGCTTATAAGTTTACCTTGTTGAAATCCAGTTAAGACTTTTAAGATTTGTTTGAGCCTCATTTTTATTGAGAATATATTTTGTAATAATGATTTATTTAAGAATGTGTTAATAAAAAAGTATGAAAAAATTTTGAGTTTATATGTAAAAATAATTGGGAGAATGCGTAGTTAAAAATAAGTTTAGGAAAAAAATGAATTTTTAAATAATAGGAATCAGATAAAAGCTTATTACTCCTTCTGTCCCATAATGATAGAATTGTTTCAATGCTTCTATTTTTACGCAGATTAAGAAAACCAAATTAATATATTTTGAAACTATAAAATTTATTATTATCCTTCCTAATACATTGAATAATAGTAATTCATATTTATTGATAACAATGCACATTGAATAAGAGTACATTAGAAAAGTAAGACATTGATTATACGTTTGTCCTACCTGCAGAGGCCCTATGTGAGGTCCACCTTCATGTGAGTGCACCTGTACAGACTCTGTGCAAAAGAGCCTATGCAGGAGGCTTTTTCCTTAATTATATTCTCAACATGGAAAGTAGCATATAATTTTGGATAAATAAAAAAGAATAATAAATCTTTTTTTGTGAAACGTAGAGAGTATAAAAGATTTTGAGTGAGCTTGGGGTTAGGGTGGGAGCACTATTTAGCAAAATCTAAAGAAATTGTACCTTTTGTGAGTCAAATCGAATTAACATTTTGTTTTGGTTCTATACTCACTTCAATATCCTCGTTAAGGTGCAGTCAATTGGAACGGACGTTTAACTTATCAAATTTCACTATTGACATCTAGCCTCTGCTTGGTAGAAATTGAAATCTGGATTTTAAATTAAAAATCAATAATTAATTTTAACTATATATTTCATAAGAACTACAACTTTTCAACTACTCATTTCATTAATTTGTATCAAATTTTAATTTTAATCTTCATCAAACAGGGACTAACGGATGTGTTTTGTCTGCGTGCATGTACATTCATTAAAATTAGTGCTCACAAATGAACATTCATAACATGAGTGCTCCAATATTAACTCTTTCTTTCGCAAGCTATTTATTTCAAAATTCTATCAGACAGGTGTATTTGACTGACTATATTTTGCATAAAAAATGTCATTTTCCACCCAAATTCTTATTTTTTGAAGTATTTTATTGACAATTTTTTTCGTGGAAAACATTTCTTTGGAAGGAGTGATTTTTATTTTTCAAGCGATTTATTCTCTCTCTCTCTCATCTATCCCTCCTCTCTCATTCGTCCATCAATAAAAAATGGACAAGTATAATATTATTTATGTTCAAACCTAAATCAATCAAAATCATTCAATACTTTTCATACAAATAATTTTTAGATAGTTCAATTGTTTAAAATTTATTTTCTTTCCATGCAAATTTCATGTCATAGTCAAACATGTCCTAAATTCCATTTGCAGGCCTTTGCTAGGATCCATTACCAATAGTTGTGTAGAAGGGCCAGGATCCATTAGAAAATAGACATCACTAAAGTTTTTCAGGCCCAAATGGCTGGACATGAAATAGTTTCCCAATAGACTATCTATAAGGTTCATATGAGGTGGTCCATGTCGACTAGAACTTGGCCCAATGGATTAGTATTGACCCGTTTTAACCCTATTATTGACGTGGAACATTTCATATATAAAAGATTAAGTATGATCTATTTCAAAACCATAAAACTTCAAAAATTAGATAATAATTAAATTTATTTATAAAATAATTAATTAAAAATATTCTTTAGTAATTAAATATATTAATGTCAAAATTTTATACAATTTGGTCACAATTATCAAATTAATTAATCACAAATTATTTCTTGGTCTCAAATCACAAATTTTATAAGTCGAAAATTATTTATCGGTCACATTTATAAATCACAAAGTTATTTTCAGATCACAAATAAAAATTTTATAAATCACAAATCAAAAAATTTGTAGGCCATAATTTATTTATTGATCACAAATCACAAATTTTATAAGTTATCACTTATTAACGATGTTAAATTATCAAATTAATTGGTCACAAGTTATTTGCCTATCACAATTTAATAACTTGTGAGTCACAATTACATTTTTAGGTCACATCCTCACTATAGCCACTACACATCATAGCAACGCAAAACTACCACCATGGTTAGACAAAACCACCACTACAGCAACGCAAAACAACCACCAAATTGCAACATCACCAAACACCCCGCAATAGATCGTGAAAGTCGTGCACATCACCACCACCACAGCTACAACCATCTCTTCTCTTCTCTTCTCTTCTCCCATCCGACATGTGACCAGAGAAAAAGTGGGAAACTAGCAGTACCTCCGATTTGCAGTGCTAGTCACAAAGGAAAATGGAATAAAGTATGCCCTCGATCTGCAACACCCCCTCACGTAGCGTTGCACGCAACGATTGAGGCTTCGAGATCCTCCACCATCGCCTCCAACAATCAAAACTCAATATCCAGCACTGAGTCCCTTGAGATCCTTAATGGTGTCATTTGCTTCGTCGTTTGATGTTCAATTTATTGTTGAGCTTTTTTCTGTATCTTACAATGTCATATATGACAGTTGCTCTCTCATCATTGACGGTAAATTGAAACTTCTTATCTTTGCCTCCATTCGCTACTCTCCTCAACTAGGGATGACAATCGGGCTAGTCGGGTAGAGTCGCTCGTAGCTCGGCTCGAAAAAAGTTCAAGCCAGCTTGACTCGAGGCTCGGAGGCACCGAGCCTCATTTTTTAGGGTTAGCTCGAGCCGGGCCTGCCAGTATTATTTTTAAAAAAAAAAGGGGGGGGGGGGAATCTGCTGCTTGTTTGGCAGCTAACTTGCTGCCAACATGCAGCTATAACAAGCTGCCAACCGGCAGCAGATAAGCTGCCAAATAGGCAGCAATAGGTATAGAAAAAAAATTCCAGAAATCGAGCTCGGCCCGGCTCGGCTCGATAAAGCCCGAGCCGAAAGCTCGGGTCGAGCCTTTATTTTCCGACCGAGCTTTTGTTCAGCCTGGCTCGAGCAAAAAAAAGGCCCGTCTTAGAAAAGCTCGACCCGAGCCCGAGCCAAAAATTTTGGCTCCCGAACTGGCTTAACTCAACTCGTTGACATTCCTACCCGCAGCAGTGTGGTGTCGCTGCTTCATCGATTGAATGTTGTCACAACTGTGGGGAAATGCCATCTATTGTAATGTGTGTGAGAGAAAGATGGGTATGAAGAGATATAAAGAGAGAGAGGATAGTGGAAATTAATTAGGATTTGTTATGAAATTTGTATATATAATATATAATATTTAAATATGAAATATCTTATTTTTGATTAACGAAACATTCACCCTAATTTTAGAATACTGATCTTTAAAAATACGGTGTAATGTAATTTCTACTTGTAACATTCTTAACCGTCCATATGAGGTAGTCATTTTTGTAACAACTTCTAAAGCCCAAATTCAGTTATTTATTAGTCAATGTCATTTTTTGGATCAATCGAGCTACACTATCAGAAGAAAATTGATTGAAGCCCTGATCGACCTCACAATAGGGGGTGGGGCCACTTTTTTCTTCCAATTGTTTATTCATGCCGGGCCTAGCACTTGTAAGAGTCAGTCAAAGCCTCTCTCATTATTTTTTTTTGGCAGGGAGGCTTTTTGTTTTTGGATTTATTAATTATTTCAATATGTTTAGATATTAGTTTATTTATTAATTTCTTGGATATACTAGTTGGAATATTCATAGCCGTCACTTAGAGGTGGGTTTGGAATGATTTTTTCAGAATTTAAAAATACATTTTGACAAAAAAAAAAATAATAATAATAAATAATAAATAAATTTCAAACTTCTCTGAAAAAAAGCTCTATTTGGGCATTTACATGAAATTTGTAATTTATATTTAGTGAATCTATAAAATTAATAAAATACAGATTAATATTTTTTTTTAGAAAAAATTCTTAACTTCTAACACATTAATTATTATTTACATAAATAAATAAAAATTTAATATAAAAGGGATTTTGCAGTTATGATGACAAACAACCAATTTAATATTTACAGCAATTTTTGAATCTCACAACTAAACATCTTTATAATAAAAGCTCTATTTACAATAATTGTGACAAACATGCTCTTAATGCTATACATCTAGTCTCTAGAAATGCCTACATGTGTGCGAACTCATAAAACATTTCAATTTTTGAAAGAAAAATTTGGAACTTCCCCCCCAATTCCACGTAATCCAACTAATTTATCCTCAACATTTTTTTAGGACAATCGATTCCCAGCCTTTTAATAATATAGAAAAATTCATCATTACCACACTCTTCAAATAAATCAAATAAAAGAAAGAAGTAAAATAACAAAAAAATAAATAAAATTACAAACGAAGTCTTAAAACTTTTCAAAAAGTACAAGTAAGTCCCTCTTAGAACAATTAAATATGTTCCAGAAAATTGAAAAAAAAAATCAAAAACTTAAACATTATATTCCATCTTTCCCAACCAAGTTCACCTATTGACCTTATTAACATCCATCTCGCTCTGATTCTTGAACATCGATTTTTGTTGAAATATGGGTTATGGTGGCCACGGCACGAAGAAAAGAATTGAATCAAATCAAGGGCCCGTGGAACTAGAAAGAAGATTAACTCTTGCAGATATCGATGGAGAAGCACGTCCAAGAAGTTAGTCTTTATTAAGCAAGTCAATATGTTATGATATCGAGCTTCATTTGGGAGGGATTAATTTTTATCAAAATCTACTAAAAATATGATTTTAGTCTCCATCAAACAAGATTTGAGTGTTGTTATGTTGAAAGACAAAATAGAAATTAGAGATTATAATATAAAGACACGTGCTATTATACCAGAATAAAAAAAAATATATAAAGAAAAAATACAATGTCGTCCAATGAGGACTGAAAATTTAAGTATTGATGACATGTTTACATAAATCTAAAAAGACTCGTACTTATAAAAATAATCTGATCTTAGTAGAAATCGTTCTCAAAAAAATGGTCAAAGCGATTAATTAATAAAATATCTAGCAATGAGCTCAAAAAATTGACAATTATATCATCCAACTATAAAAATAGGTCAAAATTTCAACTCATTGTCTCCAGCATAAAGGCCAGGCCAACCCCAATTTAGCTTACAATATTTTAGTCCAATCTCGATCCCGTCTCGATTGCCTGTACAGATGTCAAAATCGTTGAAAATAATTCATAATTATTAAGCCCATGTTCGATTTAACTAAAAAAATGATAAATATTTAATTTAAAGCTAATAATTAAATTTAACCACATGTTTCACGAGAGTAGCTACTTTTATCAATTTTAAATTACACATTTCATCAATTTTTGTCAAAATTTACTAAGAGCATAATTTTTTACAAAACCAAACAGGAGTTAAAGCGGCTCGTGCATATTACATCAACAACAACTAGAACCAAACCTACTCGACTAATGTTGTACATTTCGAAAGCTACATTTTCCTATTACTTTCAAGATTTGCAGTACACTTTGCCATCTGCATTTACTAAATAATCAATACTTCATCATTTTAAAGGGGCCTATTGTGTGGCCCCCCAGGGCACATCCAAGTTGGCGGAACAATCACATTGGGGGGCTGTGGAACCAAGTGTGGGGAGTTCGATTCCTGGTTGGAGCAGCCAAGTGATGTAATAACCAGAGGAAGGGTTGGAGCAGCTTGGTGATGTAATAACCATGGAGGAGGGTCCCTTTGGAGAAGGAGTAAAAGCCATGTAGGAACCTGGGAACCAACAAGGGCACAACCTGCGATTTACCTCCACTAGTCACTGAGGGGCCGGAGGCTAGAGGTCCAGGATTTAGTCCGGCTAAGCTGGGACACCTGGGTTATCAAAAAAAAAAAAAAAAAAAGGGGGCCTATTGTGCACGTGATTGTAACTCTTTGGTTTTTACCCTCTTTAGCTTCGGTATTTTTTTACAATGAGAAAATAAAGACACTTTAATTTTTTTGCAAGTATAATAGATATTTTAAAAAAAAATGTTTTATTCAAAATTTAAATTTTATAAAATTGAATTTATTATTTCAAAATATCTCTTAATAATAATTTTTTTATCCTAGTAGGAATCGAACTTTTACAAGACGGCAGAGTTTGGAGAATCAACTTAAACTATTTCATTGCTAATGAATATTATTTGCAAAGGGGGAGCAAGTTCGAAGATGGTTAATCGTTATATTTCGATGTTTGACTGTTTACCATTGTTTTTAACTTGGTTAAATTCTATTTTTATG